GCTACAAATCACTCCCCCCTAGTGGGGCAGTGATGACCCTAAGACGTGGCCAGCCAGAAGTTTAAACCCAACGAGTTTGCCGTTGGTAAACACTCTTCTGATAGCTTACTAAATTTAGCAGCGTCTGGTCGTCTTTCCTTACTATATGGGGCCGGGGTACAACATAGTAAAAAAAAGAAATGTACAATGAAAGTTTCGGATCCTCATAAACGTCATCGTTCTTTTCCAGCCGTCCTGGAAAAGAAGAAAGAAAATGTAAGTGCATGTCGAAAATACACTCGTATGTGCGTAAAAAAGGGAAAATAAACTCATGAACACGTAACAGCGTTAAAAAAATTGTTTTTTGTTTTTGTTTTTTTGAAATAGAAATGAAAATATATAAGCTTATTAAAAAAATTTATTTTTTAATAATATAGAAAATGTCGAGGAGTGCCTTACGTGCAATAGTCGTTTAAATGTTCTGGAAACCTCACTCTTCTTCCAGAACGCGTCGTTTTAAGTTTATTTTCGGATACCGTCGAAGTATCATCGTGTGTGTTGGTTGTCGGATGAGGCATTATAAGTGTCGGAGTCGTGTCGTTCAATTGTACCGAAGGAAAATCCACGTAGATAGGATTTCCTTCTAAATACGCTGCTTTGAGGCGATCGATGCTGATGCTATCGTTGGTTCCGTTCTTATCGATTAAATAGTACTTCGGTTCGCGTTGAAGAACTTTGAAAGGTCCTTCGTATGCTGATTCGAAAGGTCGTCGATGCGAGTCTCGACGAACGAAAACGTGTGTACTATATCGTAAGTCAGGTTGAATGAAAACATTAGTTGATTGAGGTCGAGTGGAAGCAGATTTAACTGAACGCATTGCGTTTGTAAGCCTGTTCGTGTAGGAGGTTAGATCCATGTTCATTGAAGAGGATGAAGGATTCACGAATTCTCCTGGAAGTCGAAGCGTCGTTCCATAAACGAGTTGAGCCGCAGTGTATTCACTGTCAGCTTTCACTGCGTTGCGGATACCTAGTAAGAGGAGTGGGAGAGCGTCGGTCCACTGTGAAACGTTTGCAGCTGATAGTGAAGCTTTTAGTTGTCGGTGAAAACGTTCTACCAACCCGTTTGCTTGTGGGTGGTAGGCGGTCGTTCGGAAACGAGTGCTTCCTAATAGTGTGGTCAGACGACGGAAAAGTTCAGACTCAAACTGACGTCCGTGGTCTGTAGTGATGGTTGAAGGGCAACCGAAGTTTGCTACCCATCGTTCGACGAATGTGCGGGCCACTGTTTCAGTAGTGATGTCCTTGATAGGTACTGCTTCTGGCCATCGGGTGAAACGATCTACACAGGTTAAGAGGTAAGAGTATCCATTTGAATCTGGTAAAGGTCCTACCAAATACAGATGAACATGGTCGAAACGAGCATCGGGAGTTTTAAATGAGCCTAAGGGACATTTATTGTGTCTGATGACCTTAGATTTTTGGCAGCTTACACAGGAGCGTGCCCACCCCCCCACGTCTTTATTCATACCAGGCCAGCAAAACCGTTCTGCTATGAGCTTGATGGTTGCACGAACACCTGAATGAGAAAGTTTGTGCAATGTGTTGAAGACATTGCGTCGATGATGTTTCGGGACGATTGGGCGATCCCTACCTGTAGATGTGTCACAAAGTAAAGTTTCCTTACCAGTTCCCATCTGTTTGATGAGTAGTTTAAGGGTTGTGGACGATAACTCTTGCTGAAGATCAGTGTCTTCTTTTTGAAGCTGAGTGAGTTTAAGAAGGTCGATTCCTTGGAAACTGTCCAAGGAATTTATTCGAGACAAGGCGTCTGCAACTACATTGTTTGCTCCAGAAATATGTTGAATATCTGAAGTAAACTGCGAAATGTAGTCCAGTTGTCGAGACTCACGGGGAGAGTACTTGTCTGAAGAGGAGCTTAACGAGAAAGTGAGCGGTTTATGGTCAGTGAATAGAGTGAATTCACGGCCTTGGATAAAGTGTTGAAAATGCCGTACAGCACAATACATAGCTAGGATTTCCCTACCGAATATGCTGTATCTCGATTCGGTGTCTAGCAACCATCTAGAGAAAAATGCCAAGGGTTGCCAGGAGTTGTTAACCCATTGTTGTAAGACTCCTCCGATTGCCGAGTCAGATGCGTCTACTGCGACACTAATAGGTGCTTCAGTGTCCTGATGTGCGAGCATTGTTGCTTTAGCGATCAGTTCCTTAACTGCGGAGAATGATTTTCGTGCTGTGTCGTCCAAATTAATGGATTTCGAATTTCCACGAAGTTGGTCGGTAAGAGGTTTCATAAGTAATGGGCATTTCAGTATGAAGCGTCTATAGAAACTTACCAGGCCGTTAAACGTGCGTAATTGCTTGACGTTGGTCGGTTCTGGGTAATCCAGAATGGCCGCCACTTTGGTCCTAAGGGATCGAATGCCTTGAGCATCGATAGTGTGTCCTAGGAAATCTAACGAGTCGGTTCCGAATTGGCATTTCTGAACGTTTACAGTAATGCCATGTTTTTGTAATCGTTCGAAAACAAGATCCAGATGCTTGAGATGTGATTCTCTGTCCGGACTTGCGATTAGGCAGTCATCAACATACGCATGTACGAAGTTGAGACCTCGAAAGACGTCGTCTATGAATCTTTGGAAAGTTTGCGCAGAGTTTCTTAAACCGAACGGCATTCGCAAAAATTCATAGAGTCCGAAAGGAGTTATGATAGCTGTTTTCGGTATGTCGTTTGTAGCCATAGGGATTTGGTTATACGCTTTAACGAAGTCGATTTTCGAAAAGACAGTTGTACCTTTCAAGGTAGCTGTCAAATCGTGAATGTGAGGCAACGGGTAACGATCGGGAATGGATTTTGCATTCAATTACCGATAGTCACCAGTTGGACGCCAATCGTTGCTGTTCTTTTTAGGGACCATGTGCAACGGAGATGCATAAGGGCTGTTTGAGGGTCGTATGATTCCTAAGTCTATCATGTGATCGAATTAGTTTTTCGCTAACCTTAGCTTTTCCGGAGCTAGTCGTCGTGCTTTAGAGAATACAGGTGGTCCTGAAGTCGTGGTGTGATGTGTAACATTGCTGGTTACACACGGTAGTTTCGTTTGAGTTTGTTGTATCCCAGGGTACTTATCGAGTAGTGGTTGATAGAGTGGGTCTATCATATGCTTAACTGTGACTGGGGATAATCTACAACCAGAAAAAGAAGTTACGCAAACGGATAATTTAGTGTTTCCATCTACTAGCCTCCGTTCGCGCGTGTCGATGATTAGATTATGATGTTGTAGAAGATCCATACCAATGATTGGCATAGAAACATCTGCAACAACGAAAATCCGATGAATGGGTTTGCGTAAACCTACGTTAAGGTAGACGTACCTTTTTCCATACGTAGAGATCGGTTTTCCATTTGCCGCCTGTAAGTTTAGAGTTGATTTGTGGAGCCGGTCGTTATGACTTGCTGGGAGAACGCTAACTTCTGCGCCAGTGTCGACGAGGTAGCGAACTCTCGTTGTCACATCTGTGACGTACAACAGACGGCTATGTTCGCCGGCTGCGGTTGCCGTTAACGCGTGCCGGCTTGGAAGTTTCCCGAATTGTTTTTCGAGTCAGTCGGTTTCGTGTTGGGAAAATTGCAGGGTTTTCTGCAATTTCTGGAAGATTTTCCATACTGATTATGATACCAGCACCAGTCGGGGTTATCCGTCTCTCGTGGTCTAGAGACAGATCGTTTACGTGAAATGCTTCTACGTGGGCTGCGTGAGCGACTACGGTCGTTACGAAGATTAAGATAACGCGTGAGTGTATGACATAATTCGGTTATGTCATTCTGAGTCGTGTGAGGCTTTTCTTTGACGGAAAATACCTCTGAAGTAGACGATTTCGTTATTTCTAAAATACGATCGACAGATGAAGCTAGCTCGTCCAAAGCGTTGTTCTAAAATGAGACCAGAACCGCTTGCACATGTTGAGGAAGTTTAGACAAGAAAAGTTGTTTAAATAGACCTTCGTCGAAAGTCCTTAGGCCTATCACTTCTCTCATTCTTTGCAACATGTCAGTCGCAGAACCGTGTTGCAGGTCGATGTTATTGAAGAGTTGATCTAACCTTTGTCGATCGGTTAGGTCTCCTCGTTTAAGAATCGAACGTTTCAAGATTTCGTAAGGATCGGAAACATCACTAGTAAACATACTAGGTGTTACGTACCTGTTGAATTCGCGCGGTAGTTCCTTGACTACTGCGAGGAATTGTGCACGTGTGTCGATCACGCCGAGCTCGGAGAAATCGGATTCTGCGTAGCAGAACCAGGCTTCGATATTGTCGGGCCAGAAAGGCATGAGTTGAAACGAAGGCGGGGACAAAGTCTTAAGCTTGAGTACTTTGGGTGTCTGTTCAGCCATGATGAAATATGAAGTACGATAATGAACGAGGGGAAAATATATATATATCCAAGGAAAAACACGAACAAAAAATCACGTTTAAAAAAATAAGGTAATGATATATAAAAATCCCAAAAAGGAACAGACTCACAGTTGCAATTAGGTGTACCAGATCACGACGGTCTCACCAATGAGGATGATACAGGTATTCAGTGTTTGACAACGCTTCTACCAGTAACACCTTCTAATATGCTTTGTTCCCACCGAGAGAAATCAAAAGACAGAGTCGAGGAGATCGGAAGAGTGTATTTGGCGATAACCAATATATCGGGAATCTCTGATCTAATCTGGCTAGTGATTGCGGTTGATGTTGAGCACAGCGTTACAGCACGTGATCTGGTTCGGATACATGACCGAGCGCCTTCAGCTAGATGAGTCCACTAAAACATATGGTCAGCATCCAATGTCGAAAACCTACAGAGCTATTTAGTTTTGGGATTTATTTACCGCTACAGGTTCATTGGAGCGATTGATGTCCCAGCAATAGGTAAGCCAAAATATGGACTAAAAAGCACAGAAAACCCATTATTGTTTTTTGCAATGATTTTGTGGTTTTATTGAAGCGGAATACTACTTGAATATGAGAACATTTAAAATGCGTGTGAACCAATAGACGCACAACGAACGAAACGCAGAAGAGCGGTCACATGTCAGCCAGTTCAAGGTCGTGGAAGCGAAACGGGGCGAGTCTCCCAGTAAGCTTTTGGTAAAGTCAGCAGTACACTTTCACTGTCAAACCTTAAATCCTCAATAATTGGTCTTAGTGCTCTTCAAATTGTGTCCATGTTACGACAGTTTTGTGTCCTTCAGGTGAGAGTCATTATCGTCCATAAGACAGGCTGAAAGCAAGCTATCAGCTCGGAAAGACTTTGAAGGACCCGTCCACATCAGGGTATTAAATGTTGCAGTATAATTCCACCAATTGTATTCTTAAAGTGGAATAGTTTACTAAGGATTGTTAGATAGAAAAGCATGTTTTGATGCCATTGGTGTGAATCTAATACGTAGTAGTGGCTCGAAATATGCATATCACGGAGTTCCCCGACATTTTGCTAAGTTACTCAACGATATAATTGATATTTATTACCACGATTCAGCGAATCACTATGAACATAACATTTATACGACTGTTGAAAAACTCAAATATCGACACTCCTAGTTTATGCAGTCACGTACTATAAATTATCACCAATCAGTTGTCACTAAATTTTCAATACTTTATTTTCCAGAGATCTTAGAAGCTTTAACTCAAATGAGCCAGAGTATAACTGTTCCTGTGACTTTTATACGTTCATTCAAGTACCGTACAACGTGTTATTTGCCTTTGTCGAACATTCCTCAGTCGGCGACTGTAAAAGACCTGTTCGATCGCATACATCATGGTAAACATTACATTAGATATACTTTACAATATTCATGTTTAGAAGTAAAAATCTCTTCGGTTATACCTCCTCCTTTCAAGAACCTTTGTTACGGTAAGCTAATATCTATTAATTTAACTCTCGAAATAGAAACCTAGTGAACACCCATTGGTATTTAATCATTTATTCAATAACTACATAATTCGGTTTGATTTCAGGGAAACATGATTCAGGAGGTTTCTTAATCTTTTGGTAATCTGACTGGTGTATTTGTCGTGTTATAAAACCCGACTTGACTTTCTCTATTTCTCATTGACGACAAATGTAGGTTCTTTAATCCATCACTGTGTTGACGCACTATGCCAACCTGCTTGATAATTTCGAAAGATGTATTATAACGTATCCTAGGTACTAAGATTATAATAACGTATTAATATACTTGCTACAGTAAGAGCGAAACCCAGTCTCACTTTAGCTGTTTTAATGTTCTAGTGTACGGTAATGCCATTTTGAAAAAAGATCCTTAGTCATAACCTAATTGTAAAATACCAGTACAAATACCAAACAAAATTACGCAATAAACCCAACCTCTTTAAAATTTTCGATATCTTTTTAGAGCTCTCCTAATAGTATTTAGTTAACTAACATCCAAACATTTGTTGTCACCGCTTTCGATGTATCTGCTTCAACCAATCTTAAGGATTCATTTCAACTGCTCATTTTATATATTTTATGCTCTTTTGAAGATGCGCTGAAAGTTCGCCATAAAGCTTTTAACACAAAGGTAAGATTTACATCTAATAATACTCTCTTTACCAGTCTGGAGAACTGTTAATTGATTTAGAAGGTGATCCTATTTCGAGCAATTCGGACTTAACTCTAGAATCTCTTGGAATAGGTATGTTTATTACAGATATATCAAGGCTCTTATTTTCATGTACGAACATTTTTATATTTATGTGAAAAAACGTAATCAATTGAGAAAATATTTGACTTGCTAACCGTTAATGTATTTTAATAGGCGCAGAGTCTATGAGGTACAAAGTCCTGAAATGATAAAATGATTTATAGTTTCGCAATGAGTCTTATTAATCGTTTTAAGTGAATAAAGAATTCAAAGGTTGTGTAAAGCACGAGTTTAATAAAAACAAGTCCGTTAACTACATAAAAGTAGTGTGTCAGTTTCGGGGGCATTACTTTCGAACGACCTGGTACGGCCAAGAGTGGGGAGAGTCCGCTCTCCCTCTCCAAATACTCTCACACGGCCGCGCGTATAAAGCCTCTGCCAGGGAAGTCCTACTCATTGCCCTCTCGTGGCGGGGGTGTTGTTTACGAAAATGAGAGGACGATAAGCGAACTTCCGGCGCTTTAACCGGATCACAAACCAATAGTGCACATGGGCTCCAGTATCCTGCGGGAACAAATGGCGTATGAACCAATCGTTGGTCACCGGTTACCATGGGATTGCATCTCCTTACGATGCTCCACTGCCTTGTGGGTTAGACCATTAGGTCAAAGGCTCGGGGTGTGGCTCCCTAAGATAACCACCTGCTTCGATTTGGGCACCCGGGCAGTATCACAACCCACGCACAAATGATGAACTCTTTATGTCTATGGAAACTACCTTTCTCGCTTCGAAAAACAATAAATTGATTCAAATTATTATCATTACAATTATTGTCATTATTAATATTATTATTACCATTATTGTTATTATTATCTTCCACATTATTCACCCTCTTTTATACTTATACAGCGGCTCGTCTTTGGTGGAAATCCGACTGTATCTAAACGTTCTCGAGTCACTGTCCGGTTGAAAATTGTATGTTACCAACGAATATGAGTACTGAAGCAGTTTTTGTGAAACCACGTGCGCCATTCAAACTGGCTACCTTCAACGTTCGCACACTTATGCAGGTTGGTCAACAGATAGGGCTGGCTATGTCTTTGGAAAGTCTTCATATCGATGTCTTCTGTCTATCCGAGACCCGTATTCACGACTCTGGTGATGTACTACAAACTCGCTCTACATCTGTCACTTCAAAAAGCTTGTTTTACGTGCGCTTATCCGGAGACCCTGTGGCATCTTCGTCTGGTCTTGCTGGCGTTGGTGTCGCACTAAGCGCTAGAGCTGAGGCAGCACTAATCGATTGGATCCCCATTAACAGTCGGTTATGTGCTGTTAGATTAGAAAGTTCCATCAAAGTGAGAAATCGGTGTGAGAAACGATGTCTTTTCGTCATCTCCGCCTATGCCCCGACAGATTGCAGCCCGGATGCAATCAAGAATGAGTTTTACCACCAGTTATCTGTTCTTCTCCAGGAACTGCGTTCGACAGATATTGTAGTACTAGCCGGAGACTTGAATGCTCAGGTCGGGCGTCTAGGCACAGAAGAGGGTCGTTTAGGTGGCCGATGGGGACTTGTTGGTCGCAGGTCAGATAACGGGGACCGTCTACTGCAACTGTGCACAGACCACAACCTGTTTCTGGCTAGCACTAACTTTCGGCACAGTCTTCGCCGATGTGCCACCTGGCGTCCTCCCTCTGCATCTCAAGCCTGGACTCAGATTGATCACATCGCGATCAGCTACCGCTGGCGTGGTTGTGTACAAGACTGCCGCTCCTTTTGGAGTACCTATCTGGACTCTGACCATGCTTTGGTCTGCTCCAATCTTACCTTACTTTTCAGTGGACAACGAAGTGACGGCCACCAACGGATTGATGTTAGCAAGTTGGTTGCAACTCCTGTTGCAAATAAGTATCGAACCGAGCTAGCTTCTAGGCTAGCTACCACTCCACCGAAAAGTATAGATGAGCATTGGTTGCAATTGCATGACGCCATGAAAATGGCGGGTAAAGTCAGTTGTGGGTTTGCGAAACGTCCCGCTTTTAAGCACTGGGTTTCTTCTGGTTCCTTACAACTCATTGAAGCCCGTCGGTCTACTCCGGGTGACCGTGAGTTTGACCATAAACGAAGGATGTTACGTAAGGAAATTGGGCAAAGCTTGCGTAAGGACCGAGAAGCCTGGTGGTCGGAGCGTGCTAATGAGCTGGAAGCAGCAGCTGCATCTGGTAACTACCGGAATTGACGACGTTGTTTACAAAGGTTTGGGAATTAGAGAGTGTACCAACGTCATGGAATGAGTGCTTTGCACCTTCGAAGTGTAAAGTACTTCTACAAGACTGGCACGATTCAAATCCTGTACTCACCCTGGATGGTGAGCAGATAAACGTAGTCGAGAAGTTCGTGTATCTGGGTAGCTGTATAAGTGCTGGTGGGGGTGTGAATGATGAGATCAATGCACGTATAGTGAAAACCAGAGTGGCTTATGCCAATCTGGGCCACCTTTGGCGCCTTCGTGATGTTAGTCTGGCTGCAAAAGGTCGGATCTACAACGCGTCGGTGAGAGCAGTTTTGCTCTATGCTTGTGAAACCTGGCCTCTCCGAGTTGAGGACGTTAGACGACTCTCTGTGTTCGATCATCGCTGTCTCCGAAGGATTGCTGACATTCAGTGGCAACACCATGTCAGTAATGCAGAGGTTCGGCATCGTGTGTTCGGGCACAGAGATGATAATTCAATTGGTGTCACCATCTTGAAACACCGACTTCGGTGGTTTGGACATGTTCTCCGAATGTCGTCCCAGAGAATTCCACATCGTGCATTATTTGCCGACTCTGGGACTGGTTGGAAGAAGCGGAGGTGGTCAGTGCATGACATGGTGTCGAGGCATGAAAGAAAGCTGCAAAGGACTGGTTTCTGTTGGTCCTTCACGACTCCCTGGTTGGGGTCTGAGAGATGGTGCTACACAGTGGCTAGAGACGTTATCAGATATGGCTCAGAATAGAAGCCAGTGGCGATCCTGCTGTAACCTTCTTTTACTTTCTTCATAAAAAGTGGTTGTGTCTCTCTCACCTGAAAGATTTCTTCCGATTGTGCCTTTGCGTTCCCTGATTACTAGCACATTGCCTTACACCAATCTCTTCGTTATCGTTCTCTTTTTTTCTATTGTGCTCCTTAGTTTTTTTTCTTTTTTTCTATCTCTTCGGATTTTCATTGTTTTGTGTGGCGCATATATATTGGCGCTCTCTTGTACGAATATTTATGTGTTCAAATAATACTTTCGCATGAATCAACAATACCACCTACTTGTACATCTAATATCCCAAGGGGAAAATCTAGATGTGTTCAAGTGAAATTTGCCCTGATTAGCTGACCGGCTTATCTGAAACTGATTAGAAATGTATGCAAATCGGTTTCGCGTTCGAACTTTGGTGAAGGGACTGGATGTTTTTATGCACGTACGCCCACCTCATATAAACTGAAATAATCAAGTGTCACCAATAAAAGAGTTACCGAGTTTAGCGATGTGGTTTACTCAAGCTGTATAATCGTATTGATAATTAACTAACACATAAAGCAGTCCATTGAAAAATAGGAAGATTACATCATTCTAAGTGCCAAAAGGAAGTTCCATAAAACCATCGAGAATTTTAAAAAAGAAAATACGATAAAACCGAATCTGAAAGACAACTGTCTATTCAGGGAGTATGGGAAAGGTAAGGAATGAACTATACACGTGGTGATAATAACAAATAATTAAAACAGGAGAGTGTATTAATGACCAAATTACCGTTCATGAAATTAGGTGTTAGGGCTATGGAAGATAGACGATAGTTTGCACATGTCACTTTTGGACAAAGAAGTCAGGTTTTGAAAAGATGCGCCGCTAGCTCCGAAAACACTGTTTGGACTTCGACAAATATCAGAAATGCCTATCCACCAAGTTCCATTGAGTGAAATCCAATCTACGATTTCCAAGACCTACAGTTCTAAAAAACACTATGAACGTTAAGCTTGGGAGTGATAATGCCTAATACATTCCGAAAGATCATCCAACGGCATCGTTGAGTAAAACTCTGTAGTGCTCAGGTCTTTACAATCTTTTTTAGCCGCCCAATCGTTCGTGGATGCATAAAACATAAACTGTTACGTCACTGTGTATATATGAGTTTACTTTCTACATCAGTGACACAAAGCCAGTGCATTTCTAAACATTATCCTGCGTGGCTTTTGAAAGACCTAAAACAATCAACAGCTAAATACCAGAGCATCTTGAATAACATGGCCTCATCAGGTATCTTTCAGAATCACCTACATTCAAACGACTGCGTTCGAGAGAAGTACAAGTCGATTAATTGTGTACTGCACAAACGTAAGCAGCTCGTCTTTTCAAAACCTGACTTCTTTGTCCAAAAGTGACATGTGCAAACTATCGTCTATCTTCCATAGCCCTAACACCTAATTTCATGAACGGTAATTTGGTCATTAATACACTCTCCTGTTTTAATTATTTGTTATTATCACCACGTGTATAGTTCATTCCTTACCTTTCCCATACTCCCTAAGTAGACAGTTGTCTTACAAATTCGGTTTTACCGTATTTTCTTTTTTAAAATTCTCGATGGTTTTATAGAACTTCCTTTTGGCACTTAGAATGATGTAATCTTTCTATTTTCCAATGGACTGCTTTGTGTGGTAATTATAAATACGACTATACAGCCAGAAAGATATTTTAGCTGAATTATATATATATATATATATTTGATCTAATTGACAGTGAATGAAACTGAAGTGGCAGTGTTCAAAATGAGCGATTTTCTAGCTCAGCGCGATAATCCAGAATTTCTGTGGTGAGAAGCAATCATGTAACTATGAAGCAACCATTTGTATATATATATATATATATATATATATATATATATATATATATATATAATATTATATTATATTGTATAATATACTCCTTGATTTGACCATAACTTTCTACTGCTAATGTGTCTGGTACTGTTACTCCTGAAGATCTACTTTTGATTATGAAGATGATATCTAGTGGTTACGTGCTCTTATGCTACAAAGTGAGAATGATATCTTAACAGATTAATTTTAGGATATCTTTTTCAGTATCATAAAAAGCACAATATCGATGATACACTAGAATATTGCGAGAAGTTTATGGAATACATCGGTGGGTTAGATCTTCATTGTTTACTAGTCGGAAGTCAGTGTCGTGATTACTCAATTATCTTAAAATGTGGTTATAAACCATTTAAGAATTACTTGCTTTAAATACTTTAATTCACATATAACAGTACTTAGGTGTTGTAATGCTGATAAAATAAATGGCAATGTGAAGAGTCATTGGTAGCTGTAGAAAGATACGACCTCTATGGTCGTATTTTCTAAGAACGTATGTAGCAATGATATACCTCACCCTTATTATCTCAACGCAGCACACGGAAATCATAATATAACTTTACTTTATCATCATTGATAAGTCACTTGTTGAGGTTTAATAAAGTTATGATACACAATGTTCAGAGAAATTACACTATCACATAAAAAAAACTTATAGAAGTACCACACTAAAGAATAATTCTGCAGTGTGATTGTGGAAAAATATGTAAATAATTCTAAATGATATAGGTTGACCAGAATCAAAAGAATGTTCCAGTAAACAGGTCCTTAGATAAAACGATCCGAATAGAGTCACTCGAATTGTTCTATCCATTTCTTTACCAGTAAATCTAGACAAGTAAATTGCCAATTCCAGTCATTAGGATACAAATACGGACGGAAATCAAACCTAAAATGAGCAGCGTGGATATTTGATGCAAAATGTTTAGTAAGCATACAATATAGCTTTATTATTAACAAAGCAGAATGAACAGATAATTAATTATACCTAGTTGATTTTCTCTGGGATTGGAATTCTGATAACCCTCACGACTATAGCACCCTGCCCACGCAATACAACGCCTACAAAAATTTTATAATGAGCTATAAGTATACTCTATGATGTAAGGATCGAATTGTCTATAGCTGCACATTTAAATTCGCCATCACAATCAACCTAATTTCTGGCATCTTGAAAATAGTATGTCTCTACTGGTCTTACTCGTCACACCAAAACTTCATGATCTAGGGTTTTGATGATTATATTACTCCTACACACAGGAATTAGTGTGATAAGACGGTGCTTGCCGATCATTTAGCATTTGGAAATGATCTGCGTTATCGGATATCCAAATTGTCTTAACTAATTTTAAACACTGGATATAGTGATTAGGATGTTATAGAACGAAAAAAATGTCTTTACGCTTGTGTTTTCATCTAATACTTAATAATAAAGGAGATGATGAATCGACCAAACGTTCCTTCTACGAAATTCTTGCGTTGGAAAAAACCCCATCGCATTTTCATAGTTGCTTGATGCGTTCATTACAAAGAGGGGATTGATGGTGGGTCTATTTAATAGTCAGACCTATGTAGACAAAATATATGAATGAAAAGGAATTCAACCCGATAGACAAAACGCGGACGCGAAATGGGTACCTATCAAAATTTATTGGCCGGATTTTAGGATCTAAAATCTTTACATCAATGACTAATAGGAAAACCATATGTTAGGATATGACGTTATTTTGAGATCATCAGAACTCATTTCGTAGACCAGATTAGCATAACCAACAAAATTTAACCCATTTTTTATTACAAAATCAAACAGGACATGAATGACAGCATCAAATACCGCTCTTTATCAAAGTAAATTGCATGTGTGCTTGAACACATATGGCAAGGTAGGTCTTGAAAGACCACTCTTGCTTAAGAAAGTCTGATGCTTGCAAACATTTCAGCAAAATGTGCTGTGGAGAGAAAATAAACATATTTGCCTATCTATTCATAATGCGGACAGAAAACGAAATGAGGGTGAATGTGTATAATATGGTGGCTTTTAAAATAGGATATTTTGATAACGGATTCAGTACACAGATTCCAATCCATAGTGCGGTTTCACCATCATGAGATTTATGCGACAGATAATAAGATGAAAATACTATATCGAGTTTTAATTTACGTCCAAACTAACCATTAGTGTTTGATTAGAAACCTACTGAAATTGCGTTTCTATGTGAGAAAAAATATATATGTAAAGGTGATGCGTAGGCTGAGTTCGGTAACATTGTATGAACTCGCACTTTGAAAGCAGTAAAATTGTAATGAAGTTCATAGTGTAGGCTAGACATCATGAAATAGTCATGAACTTCGGAATTGAGCACAGTTATATATAGTGAGGTGGGGGCAGTTTAATGATGGTTCAGATGATTAATTGGGAATATTGATATTTATCCTTAAAAGTTTCTGTTCATATGGTTCTCCACGTTATCCCAGTATGGTTAGCTGGATTTATTGTTGCCTCGTAGTTAAAAAAGATTTTCCAATCAAGAGTGGTTTGTGTTTTCATTGGATGATGCAACTTCGTATCTGGTGTGTGATTTTTTACACCCGAATGAAATGAACTGTATTATGTTGCCAATTGCCCTGGTACGGCCGAGAGTGGGGAGAGTCCGCTCTCCCTCTCCAAATACTCTCACACGGCCGCGCGTATACAGCCTCTGCCAGGGAAGTCCTACTCATTGCCCTCTCGTGGCGGGGGTGTTGTTTACGAAAATGAGAGGACGATAAGCGAACGTCCGGCGCTTTAACCGGATCACAAATCAAACGTGCACATGGGCTCCAGTATCCTGCAGGAACAAATGGCGTATGAACCAATCGTTGGTCACCGGCTACCATGGGATTGCATCTCCTTACGATGCTCCACTGCCTTGTGGGTTAGACCATTAGGTCAAAGGCTCGGGGTGTGGCCCCCTAAGATAACCACCTGCTTCGATTTGGGCACCCGGGCAGTATCACAACCCACGCACAAATGATGAACTCTTTATGTCTATGGAAACTACCTTTCTCGCTTCGAAAAACAATAAATTGATTCAAATTATTATCATTACAATTATTGTCATTATTAATATTATTATTACCATTATTGTTATTATTATTTTCCACATTATTCACCCTCTTTTATACTTATACAGCGGCTCGTCTTTGGTGGAAATCCGACTGTATCTAAACGTTCTCGAGTCACTGTCCGGTTGAAAATTGTATGTTACCAACGAATATGAGTACTGAAGCAGTTTTTGTGAAACCACGTGCGCCATTCAAACTGGCTACCTTCAACGTTCGCACACTTATGCAGGTTGGTCAACAGATAGGGCTGGCTATGTCTTTGGAAAGTCTTCATATCGATGTCTTCTGTCTATCCGAGACCCGTATTCACGACTCTGGTGATGTACTACAAACTCGCTCTACATCTGTCACTTCAAAAAGCTTGTTTTACGTGCGCTTATCCGGAGACCCTGTGGCATCTTCGTCTGGTCTTGCTGGCGTTGGTGTCGCACTAAGCGCTAGAGCTGAGGCAGCACTAATCGATTGGATCCCCATTAACAGTCAGTTATGTGCTGTTAGATTAGAAAGTTCCATCAAAGTGAGAAATCGGTGTGAGAAACGATGTCTTTTCGTCATCTCCGCCTATGCCCCGACAGATTGCAGCCCGGATGCAATCAAGAATGAGTTTTACCACCAGTTATCTGTTCTTCTCCAGGAACTGCGTTCGACAGATATTGTAGTACTAGCCGGAGACTTGAATGCTCAGGTCGGGCGTCTAGGCACAGAAGAGAGTCGTTTAGGTGGCCGATGGGGACTTGTTGGTCGCAGGTCAGATAACGGGGACCGTCTACTGCAACTGTGCACAGACCACAACCTGTTTCTGGCTAGCACTAACTTTCGGCACAGTCTTCGCCGATGTGCCACCTGGCGTCCTCCCTCTGCATCTCAAGCCTGGACTCAGATTGATCACATCGCGATCAGCTACCGCTGGCGTGGTTGTGTACAAGACTGCCGCTCCTTTTGGAGTACCTATCTGGACTCTGACCATGCTTTGGTCTGCTCCAATCTTACCTTACTTTTCAGTGGACAACGAAGTGACGGCCACCAACGGATTGATGTTAGCAAGTTGGTTGCAACTCCTGTTGCAAATAAGTATCGAACCGAGCTAGCTTCTAGGCTAGCTACCACTCCACCGAAAAGTATAGATGAGCATTGGTTGCAATTGCATGACGCCATGAAAATGGCGGGTAAAGTCAGTTGTGGGTTTGCGAAACGTCCCGCTTTTAAGCACTGGGTTTCTTCTGGTTCCTTACAACTCATTGAAGCCCGTCGGTCTACTCCGGGTGACCGTGAGTTTGACCATAAACGAAGGATGTTACGTAAGGAAATTGGGCAAAGCTTGCGTAAGGACCGAGAAGCCTGGTGGTCGGAGCGTGCTAATGAGCTGGAAGCAGCAGCTGCATCTGGTAACTACCGGAATTGACGACGTTGTTTACAAAGGTTTGGGAATTAGAGAGTGTACCAACGTCATGGAATGAGTGATTTGCACCTTCGAAGTGCAAAGTGCTTCTACAAGACTGGCACGATTCAAATCCTGTACTCACCCTGGATGGTGAGCAGATAAACGTAGTCGAGAAGTTCGTGTATCTGGGTAGCTGTATAAGTGCTGGTGGGGGTGTGAGTGATGAGATCAATGCACGTATAGTGAAAACCAGAGCGGCTTATGCCAATCTGGGCCACCTTTGGCGCCTTCGTGATGTTAGTCTGGCTGCAAAAGGTCGGATCTACAACGCGTCGGTGAGAGCAGTTTTGCTCTATGCTTGTGAAACCTGGCCTCTCCGAGTTGAGGACGTTAGACGACTCTCTGTGTTCGATCATCGCTGTCTCCGAAGGATTGCTGACATTCAGTGGCAACACCATGTCAGTAATGCAGAGGTTCGGCATCGTGTGTTCGGGCACAGAGATGATAATTCAATTGGTGTCACCATCTTGAAACACCGACTTCGGTGGTTTGGACATGTTCTCCGAATGTCGTCCCAGAGAATTCCACATCGTGCATTATTTGCCGACTCTGGGACTGGTTGGAAGAAGCGGAGGTGGTCAGTGCATGACATGGTGTCGAGGCATGAAAGAAAGCTGCAAAGGACTGGCTTCTGTTGGTCCTTCATGACTCCCTGGTTGGGGTCTGAGAGATGGTGCTACACAGTGGCTAGAGACGTTATCAGATATGGCTCAGAATAGAAGCCAGTGGCGATCCTGCTGTAACCTTCTTTTACTTTCTTCATAAAAAGTGGTTGTGTCTCTCTTACCTGAAAGATTTCTTCCGATTGTGCCTTTGCGTTCCCTGATTACTAGCACATTGCCTTACACCAATCTCTTCGTTATCGTTCTCTTTTGTTCTATTGTGCTCCTTAGTTTTTTTTCTTTTTTTCTATCTCTTCGGATTTTCATTGTTTTGTGTGGCGCATATATATTGGCGCTCTCTTGTACCAATATTCATGTGTCCAAATAAATAAATAAAAATGTTGCCAATTGCTTAGAAAACCGCTTAGAGGTGTTAGTGATGCTGATATTAAACCAAGTGAACGATATCCTTTATGAACATGTTCTGCTAAAACATTCTACGATGTAGATTTTTACTGCCTCTGATGGCAACAATAATGTTAGGTCCAAATCTAGATAAACTTTAATGCCAGAAAGGAAAAGCTAAGGGTTTTAGCAATTATATCTACGGAATTCATAATATGTAAATTATGAAGTTTTGTGGTCTAGTTGCTACACATTAGAGGATGGTCATCTCAGTCAAGTTCCTATGATTACAGACATCACCTCGTTATCTGGGAGACTTCAAAAATAACTGATCTTACCGCATTTGACTCGCGAAATATGCTTGTTCCTGCATTAGAGATCTAGTGACTCCAGTATACATCTCTACTGTTCTACAGGGTGATAAGCGCATACACAATGATAAGGGTATTTAGTAACTCTGTGACTAAATGAACAGAGAAGGAAAAGATCAACTCACCGGTTATCATCAGCACTGTAAGCCTCAGTATGATAAGCTGGTGGTAAAACCGTAGCCTTATGACGATTGATAGCATAAAAACGGAAAAACAATTTCACTTTTTCGCTAAGATATTGAGCAAGTTCAGCACCAGGTTTCCCATCTTTTTGAAAACAACTATCAGGTATAACCTTCTTAATCAGCAACCAACTACCGTCCAATAATGATTCTAACATACTGTAAGGTCCGCAGTTGGATATTTTTCTAAGTCTACCAAATAATGATAATTCGTCATAGGTCAATCCCATTTCACATTCATCTGTCTGACTAATTTCACCGTTAGATTGAGGTGGCATTAGTTCAGCTGTTGGATGAGCAGATAAGATTTCTAACAGTACTTCCGAAAGTTCAACTCCACTTCCAGAATCCATATAACTTGGGAACGTTTGAGCACAGTAAGCAATAAACAATCGTAAATCTGACTTACTGATACTTCCAATAGGATTTAAGTCTGCACTGGAACAGTCATACCTAAGAAAAAAAGTTGAAAACACAGTATAGCAAATTACCCGCAAAATCTTTTATGTAATAAAATAATGGTTTTTCTCTTAACATAGTTGCTTTACTGTCTAATAATTTCTTATCACAAGAGAAGGATCGCAGTTACTAGTTGTGCCAACTACCTTGATATAATATAACATCTTAATGCATCATAAAAAGTACAAATTAAAAACTGGAAGGATCCTCTACTTACTTTTCTGAGCTTGTTTTGAGAAATTACCATAACAAAGGAAGGGAAGCAAGCCATTCAAAATGTTTACTTCCCTCAAGTTACCGAATCCAGGAGCTTTTGATTACCATGCAGTTTGAAATATGTCGCTTACTTGAAAAATCCCACCGAGCTCAGTACTTTCATTTCATTGGATCGAATCCAATAGTCCATATTTCCAGTGTTAGTCAATTAGCGCTGTAGCCCATTTTTAATCCCTTATTGAATTCGTTTTCATTACAAGTTAGAAACTGGTAAATCCATACCGACGCTAACGACTAGCGGGAAAATTATAATTTATTACGGTGATTTTACGGAACAGCTGTTAAGCGTTTTGTGATTTTTAGTAGTCCTTCAGTCGATATCATTACTTGATGATACTTTCGATTTTTTCAAATAATCCAAAAACCGCTTGATCACACTATTCTTTCAGCTGATGATTAACTAAGAAAAGTCGATACTTGTAACAGCCTAAGGAGACGGACTGTGATAGAGATAACTTACAAAATTATCATGAAACCAGTGTTCTTCGAGATTTCACGAAACATGAGTGTAAACCCATATGTAATCGGTCTAATTTTACCAATCAGAGTTTGCTCAACATGATATACATCTAGCCACGAATTAAGCTCGGTTTTAAAAAAAATACTGGGAACCGGAAAGTATCAATTAGATTCGAAAATAAGACATACAAACCTCTTAGTGATTACTGTGCCGTAAATTTCAATTTTAAAAACTAACTAAACCTTTAAAAGTTATCATTTTGATATCTCAGTAACAAAACATCCCACTGTATGTGGAAGTAACTCGTAAGTTGACTGATTAAAATACAAAGATGGAGTTGCAACAAAACGTATTGAGGGGATAACTATCGATGACAACAGTATTAACTGGATTATTTGAATAACATCAAGGAGGTGATAACTTCATAGAAATAAGGGATTTCTACTTCACTGAAACAAAGATATGTGAACGATAAATGCGCTTAATTTTAGTAAATTCTCACCAGGTTATATAGCTATAAGTAAAAAATAACCAAATTTAAGTATATTAATAAATTTATTTTAGTAAGATGTAGCAGGCTTTATCTACGGCATTTCCTTGGACTGTTATTTATAATTGCAAAACATATAAAGTTATCGGAAAAATTACTGACCATTCGTTTTAAATTGGAGACAAAGATAATCTTTTCCTTTCATATTAGATATGACCCCGTGTAGCTCGATCAACATTGGTTATTTGAAGGTTAATGATACTTCTCGGATGCCAAGAAAAAAGTACATGTTATTGGGGTTTAAGTGCACAACTTAATAGCGAAAAATGCTTTAACCACTAAGACGGTCTGCTTTAAAGCTAATTTATATTAAGTTCAGATAAACTTGGTAACACAGAATTTCACTTACAATATCATACGACGAGTAGAATTTTTACCTAGTAGTTTAACTTGCAGCTTACGATAAAGAATAAGGTTGCGAGCGAAATGATATTAATCGATTAATGCGTTGCATCAAATGAATAAGTTGTTGTTTCACATACATGGCAAGTCAGTTAGCCACTTGTCCTGTGCCTTATCTGGTCGTTCAACTCAAGTTTTTTTGTTGGGATAACCAAAAACTTGACCAAATCAGAACTCAGTAAAGTTAATCGGGTAATTATTTTCATTATGAACTTATTGCAGTGAAAACCATTATATTAACTGGTTATTACGAAAAATTTAAATAACAATGAATATTTCTCACTGAAAAGTCAAACTGCATTTGTACTAGGTGAAAGTTTAACAAATGGTAACCTACTTTGTTAAATAACCTCTTAGTCCTTCATCTAGATTTGCACTACTTAAAACTAACAGACCTGACGGCAAATTCCATTTCCATGGTATTAACTGAGCCAGTAAATATGCTGAAACCATACGACTTCTAGCTTGTATATTTTGAAGAGCTAAACTCTCTTTACTTGAACCGCCATGAACAGTGAAACGAGGTGGTTGAGCAAGATTCAAAGTCTTGGAAGCCATATGGACAAATTCTTTTACCAGTGGTGTAATATCGGACTACGAATTATGCATAATGTTAGAATTAAAAATAAATTTTAATATTAAGCAATTTTAAGGCTACATAATAATAAAGAGGTTTGCATAATGGAACTTTATCACTTGGCTAAGTGATTACATTACATTCTTTAACCTATACAAACCTGATCAATACCAAAGACTAACTTATCGACCTGCTTATCATAATGACGATATAATATAGTTGGTTACCTTATTAGCTTACGTTGATGGTGATTAGTTAAACCATTCAATTCAAACAAACTAATAACTTAGTGGGTAAAACCTTGGGTTTTGAATTCAAGTGTGAATACGAGCATTAAAACTCAAGAGATGGTGAGTTTTTAAATAAAACGAAGTGCGTTAACCGAACTTCGTTATCAGTTACTAGCAAATAGCACTCAGTAACAAGATCTAAATCTTATTTAAACAGCTTATTTGTGGGAATTTTTCAATTTTAAGATAGCGATGATGCAGCCTAGAATAACTGGCTTAAATTGATTTGAAGCAACTGAGAGATACAGCTCCACATGAAGCTGGAGCAAAGATCTCCAGAAAGTGAAAAGCACTGGGTACCGACTTACTAGTCTTAGAAAGTCGTGTTGAAAGAGTGATCTGAAGGGTCTGGTTTTTATCCTGAGTAAGTATGTGATACCCACTCCTGAAGACTTGAGGGTACGAAATAAACAAAATGTTCACTCCTTCCAGATTTTTATTGGTTCTCCGATTGACTCAGGCATGTAATGTAAATCTTTGCTGTATCATCATTTTTTTTCTTCGTTTTAATTTAATTCTACAGGTAATAATGGTGTCTTTTGTTTCTGAATACACTGCATAAAAAATAAGCTCATTAAAATGACAGATGTTTTAAAACTATCGGATCAATTTTCGGAGTAATGTAAAAGAGATTGAAATTTAATTACTTCTAAATGATTTGAACCTAAAAGTTTAGCTAAGCGATTAGCACGTGATCTTGTAAGCGCAGAACTGTTCTCACTTGACATAAAACAAGTTGTTAGTAGACGAGAACATAATTGACGACCACTGTCAGGGATGTATTTATCCGATTCATTCAATATAGTTCGTAACTCGTGCGTAACGGACACATTACCTTGTCTTATAGCTTGAAAGATCTAAAATGAAAGAAAAAATAAATATATGTATTTAACTTCAGCAAATGCATAATAACAATACTAAATATAATAGTATATACAATAATATAATAAATCCCTTGAATTAGTCTGTGGAAATACTACGTGTAGTAAAAATGAAGCAATTTCAAATATCATTTTATGGATTTGTTTGTCATTTATTGTTAAGCAACCATATCGTGGAATACTTGATCAATTGGTTGAATTTTGACAGCAGAATAATATAAACAAATATCCTTGATCAGAAGTCCTTAAGTTAATCATTAAACTCCCTCAAATTAATAAGTTAGTCAACGGTTTATTGAATCAAACACGATTATCATGGTATATAATGGTCATTAAATATCTCAGATTACATTTGAGACAAAACTTACAATAACAAACAAACCAAGTTAGAGATGATGATAGATATATTTTGTATACATCTGTTTGTTTGTGGGACAATAGTATTGCTAGAGATGCTGGTTGCGTTCGAAAAACACTCCTTTCGTCATATCTTGTTACAACTGGGAGTACGACTCTACTGTCGGATTTTAAATGTGCTACTTTTAGTCCTATTGTTTTGCTGACTACCTGATAGGTACGTTAGGACCTCAAGAAATAAATCTTTTAGCCAATATAACCCCACTGGATAGTCATAACAGAAAGATCAAAACGTTGCATTGAAGTAGCAGTTACAGTAGGGATAACTTTACCGCAAACTGCACATTGATGGGACTTCAGAATGGCTTATTTTTCCTACCTTTTTAGCATAACACTCTACTCCTACTTCAATTTTAGCGCTCGGACAGTATTACAGGCCTCACACAAATCAACGATAACTGCTAATGACCTCATTGTTATTGTGTAACGCATATGTATTTGGTACCCCCCTTGTACTAATGTTTGTGTTAAAATAAATAAACATAACACTCTGCTACAAAGTGAATCACTGTATATCTCCACACTGTGATAGTGAAATATAAATAATTAAACACATAGCTTTTACTAAAACGTCACTTTTTAATGAAATTACTTGATTACAAAGACTGAACACAATACACGCAACTGCTGCACTGTCCAAACCTCCACTCAGGCAAAGAAAAAATCCTGAAGACTTGCTTCGGCGTAAATTGTCCCATAACCATAATGCAGGACCACAAGAAATCTCTTCTGGAGGTGAGAGAATATGAGTATCAACGTGATGCTGTAAGGACTGATCAGGCCAAAGGTCAATATGGCAAAGATTGAAATCAACCTACAAATGAAAATGATCTAGGCAGATGTTATAGATTAAAGAATGAATTTATCAGAATTCACACCTTTGCTTAATCACAAAAAGTGTTCTGATGGAAGAAACAGCTATAAATGAAGAGCGATGTAGAGCATTATTTGCTTGTATTGAGATCGAATATTTTGTAGATAAACAAAAGCACTATATAGGCAACCAAACTAATTTCTTCAATTAAAGTTTCAACCTAGCTATTTATGGTACATTGAATGACAAAAAGTTAGGGATAAACTAATGATGAACATCAGAAAGTTGTCCACCATTTGCAAACGCTACATTCCAGTTAATAATATGAATAGACAATTGGCTTGCTTAATATGTAAACTCCGTTACATGAATTACAAGCCGTCAAATAATTTATATCGTGTTTTGACTGTTCTTGAAGTTTTAGTGTTCTCCAGAATTTATTTCCATGAAAACTTCGAACACTAATCTATGTGCGATTTTTAATAAAACACATGCCTGAATTAATTCCAGAAGCCCGATAATTGCTTCGGAGTTGTTGTTCGGTGGTCTGATTATTATCTTTAACAAGGTTGAATCTTGCCAAATACAACACAATCCATGTCTATGGTTCGAATCTTCAGCTTTCATATAAAGATAAGGCCAAAATTAAAGTACATGATCCTGTACTTGATTAGTTATTTGGATTTATAATGTTTTATTAACTTATAATTACTGCTTAATCTAATATTTTCCAATAGTAAGTGCGATCGATCGTTCAAGAATATAAACGAAATGGCTTGTGGTCGGTGATGGCAGAGAATATGCATCTAATCGGTATGATACTACTAATCACTGATAACTGACCAATGAGTTTCCAATCTTAGCAATTATAACTAACGAGATATCTCTTTTCATGCTTTACCGTTCTTGAATTTTATTTTACTTCGCAGATGATACAGATATTCAGATTACAACCTTTACGTTATATACTTATATTGTTATGTATGTCCCTAGATCTAGGAAGTTAGACAAAACCACTAGCTCCTTCATTATGGACATACATAATATGGATGGCAGATCAGTTGCAAAAAGGTTTTAGAAACATATTCAGTTAACATTACTATAATTTTTGACAAATTATAAAAATCAAATTCTTAATAAAAATAAATGGATGACATGATAAAAACAACAGAGCTTTGGTATCTTGCCCAGTGCGTTAAACGAAAAAAAATCGTACCTTAACAACTGGATAACAACTGTGTGTAATGCCAAATGCATCGGATTTCGCAGCTGCACTAGCTGCAGCCACACGCCCAAAACAACGACTGGCAATTCGCTTTGATCTTAGTGAATTTAGACAAACAGTGACAGTTTCAACAGAGACATCCCCAAATCCAAACTGTGGGCTCAGACAAATTAGCTGACCGGAAACTGCGGCTAATGCACAACCGTCGTAACAAGCTCTCCCAGAATCGCATCCTCTAAGATTTGTATACGCATAGAATCCACCACCATTCGCTGCGCTAGCAGATTTCACTAGTTCTATTCTTCTATTTAGTTTTCTCAGTTCATGGTGACTGGCACTGGAATTGAGCACAGCATCCACACCAGCTGCATACATATCAATATGAGGTGGTGTTCCCGTCCAAAGCTCTTCACATGTTTCCAAGCCTATCTGTACACATTCAAAATAGCCATTTCCAGAAAATCGTAAAATAGCATCACCAAAAGCTGCTACTGACTGAGAATTCTTGGTTACTTTCTGCACTATTTCGGGCAACTCAAAGTCAATGATTCTCTGGTGATGAGGCCAAGGCGTAAACCAACGAGACTCTCTGTGCAAACCTTCATCTGCGAGGACTAATTTCGGTCGTATCAATAGAATAGTCCCATTTAACAAAAGAATTCTGCAGTTATAAGCCACACCTCCCAGTAACACTGGCATTCCAATATCACAAACAATATCTTGCATTTCAACATTTTCATTTGTTTCACTCAATATTTTTGCAATGCATTGCCATGAATGATTATAGGTATCCGATTCATGAAAATGATCTTCACATCCGTAACTTGAGACCTCTAGTTCTGGGCCAACTCTATACTTAGCTCCCAAGCGTTTAGCAGTTTTAATACTTTCAATTACACGTCTAGTATTTCCACTAAAGTCAAGCGCCCACTGATTCAGTACACATAGAGCAACAGTAAATTTGTTGGAGACCGGAGAAAAGTTAGTAACTACAGCAGACATTAAGCCCCTAGATTAAAATGCAAATTGCATGTTATATGCTTCGAAAAACAAAACACTTGTAAAGCAGAGGAAAGTTACACATGAAAACAGGGACTTAGGATTGATTAAATTGGGTTTTAGTTTATTAACTACATCCTGTTATAAGAATAGTGCCGTATTAGAGAGAACAGATGAAATGAGACGTCATTACGAAAAGATCAATACTTTCTCAAAGATCAATTAAAACCTGAAGTGTTGGAAATTAGTTGATAATTCACCTTGAAATATGTCAATATATTTCATAGGTGAAAACTTCAAGAAAGCATGTAGTGAATAATTCGTATTGCATATAGAATTGGATATCAGCGATGCGTATGGAAAAAAAGCCTTAAATTTGCAAGATATGTTGCTGAAACATTAGACGGCGAGACTCAAATTTAGGGACGAGTCAATCAGAAGCGTTTGAGCAGTTTCAATTATTAGCCAGTCAGGAGACAGTATAAAGTAAAAATATATTACAAGAAAGTAATGAATTACAGTGGATATTCTTCTTTTACATGATTAAAAAATTTTTTAAGGTTTGATAAAGGCTCAGAAGTTCTGAATTCATAATGCATACGGTATAGAAACTCGTCCATCGGGTTAGGGTGCTAACATGTGATCGGTTTACATCGAATTAATAGAGAAGAGGTGTTTATTGAGAGGCTACAACCCTAACACTAACCTCTAAAACCCGTTGTAAACCGATCGCATGTTAGCACCGTAACCTAACCATAACTCTAAACCCTAACCTAACCCCTAACCATATGGACGAGTTTTTATACTATATGCATTATGAATTCAGAACCTCTGAACCTTTATCAAACCTTAACAAGTTTTTAAATCATGTAAAAGAAGAACATCCACTGTAATTCATTACTTACTCATAATATATTTTCGCTTTACACTGTCTTCTGATTGGTTAACAATTGTCAGGGTCATTTAAGATTCGTTCAAAGGTCGTCCCTAAATTAGAGTCTCGCCGTTATGCTAGTCACACTGACACCAACCAAGTAGTCTGCATGTACCAACATGACTCAGACCAGAAGTTAGTGACTTTGTGGACTGATGCCATGTTTTGGTTTGGCCACCTCTAACTTTCTTCCAACCATCCCCAACACTAGTCAGCATTGCGCGCCGTGGTAATCGGTGGTTGGGCATACGTAACACATGGCCCAACTATCTCAATTGATGAAGATTCACAACATCATCAACTGATTTATCACCATTCTCTAATATCATACGTCCAACCTCACTTTTACTTACCGCCTACTTATCCAGTGATCCCAGCAGATGCGAACAATATTAAACTTAGGATTTAGCTTGTAAGTTTATTAATATTACATGTATTACTGTGGAGAAGAATGGCGTCAAATCATGGGGACAATGGTTTACCAGCAATAGTCTATTTTGTTAAAGACTAAACTTTTATCAACTTATAAAAGACAAACTATAGTTTGTCTTTTGATATTTAAAGTGAACACCATACCAATTGGTATAGATATATAATAAATGTTAAAAGGCAATAACATAAAAAGCTATTTACTCAAGTTTTTATTGTTTTGTAAAAGTATCTTTGAGAATTTTCGTACTGTCTGATACACATGCAAGTGCGGACGTTTCGAAGGACTGGTCTGATCAGACCAGTCCTTCACTTGGTACAGGCAATTACAATTAATCCATAGACATAATATTATTTATATGTGTATCATATACGTGGTGCACGTGTGCACGTGTACTAGAAAAAGCAGAAGATTCTAGTAGGAATCAAGCGGAATAGCAGCAACAAATCAGAAAGCACTTGCTTAGCCTTAGAGCGACCGACCTTCAGAAGTCTGATGGCAGCGGGTTTTTGGGAAAACGAGACTTGTACATTCAAAGCCAAACATGACAGGGCTGTAGTTAATTTCTCCTTAATAAGAACATTCAACAAACTTAATTTGTTTAAATGTTTTCTGCTAATTATATAACCCAGTAATCGATTAGCTATTGACCACAGAATTTTTATGTGGAATAGGTGGTATGGGGATAGCAGTTAATTGAGTGGTACACATTTAATCCTATTTTCAGTTTAAACGTGAACGGTTGGATAATTCAAATCATCCTAAACCAAGTTAGATTTTTAGTTGTTGTTTTTTGATTTTGATAAGTAATTAAAATTCAGCAGCATTGTATTTATGATGAGATAAATTTCCGGGGATGCTATAGGAATATGAAGTTGGTATGTCCATCCAAAGTCGACTTTTTTTCACTGCCCAGCAATTGTTTCCTGAAGCTTTCCAAGACTACCATTTGAATGACTGAAGAAAGTCACTAGATATATTGCTATATTACTTTCGAACATGCTTTTCTTAATATTGACGTTAACTTTTATTAGAATTAAAGGTCAATGTTTTTTAAAATAATAAGTATAAGCTGCCAAGTTATATTAGGGAATATGCACCATGGTTTACTCGTACGTTATCTGATACAAATGCTTGACCGACTGCTTTCAGGTAGATGTACATCAAGTAAAGGCCAACATGAATGTCGTTTTGTTAGCCACTACAATTGTATGGAGCTAAGTGCCTTCAGTCTCTCACTCTACGGTCTTCTCTGTGGATCACTGGAGCGAACCACATTGGTTGATATGTCTAACTTTGATCAGTTAGGGATATCGTGAGATCATCAAATCTGTGGCTAGTGGATCAGTTATACTCCAACGACTATGCAAGACCTTCTAAGGTGCTTGAATCTGGGCAAATTATGGGTTTTACATGAAATGCGCTGTAGGGTACTAGAGGAATACCCACGCCCATACTGTTTCCGTCTTAGTATTACTTTGAGATGCTTATTAGCTGATAATAATTTATTTACCCGCTGAAAAAACCCTGTTATATCCGTAACTAGCTGAGTGCGACTGGGAGATTTTCTAACCACTGCCCTTAGAAATCTGCACTGTCCGGAAGTCAAGACGAGTTTTCTCGAAGCAGACCGCCTGACACCAACCCACTCAACATTAGAAATAGATGTTAATGGAACTGCCGTAATATTCACATAGTTCTTTTGGGATCGGCAACAAGATATTTGATAGACGATCTTAGATTAAATTTTAAAATGTAAATCTTGAGTGGTAGTGCAGAGCGAATCGAGAGAATACACCACTACCAGTCAGGAAGACTCCTACTTTATGATTTGTTGTCAGATTATTTAATAATCTTGAGGAAAGTTGCATCCATTTTCTTTTTTTTATGAGATTCTTCTGAGTACAGCTGACCTCAGCAGTCGTGGATGGTACGAGGTCCCACTCATATCATTGCTTTTCAAGAAATTCGGGATAGAATAATGTGGTATCTTTACTGTGGTGTGGACTGCTGATGTCGACAGATATAAGCAATGTGGATCACCATTGTCTTGCAGAAGAAGGTTGCAGTGCCCCATTTTTATCAAAAGATCGCGATTGGTGTAATATAAACAATTACTATTATACCCGATTGTACCAGTGATTGTTTTACTCTACTTGTTTGTTTAACTGTACTAAAGACATCCATTATTATTCCATTCTTTCTTCCGTTGATTGTGACTTTGCGCGAATTCGGTTACGCTCAGTAACCACACTTGCGACCTGGCACGATCTTGGTATTCTTTCGATACCACGAGATCGCCAACGAATACATCTCGACTACAGCTATCAACTGCCTTCTGATATTTTGCCTACGGGGGATCTTATCGGTTAACTGGCACGTAGTCTTCCTGTAGTGGTGATCATAGTCAACCACAACTCGACGCTACACTACAAGGTTTAAGAGGATCAAAGAAAGGAGACGAGAACAGAGAGTGATTGGTGTGGAAATGAAGGAACGGTCAAGTCAGAGACAGTTGATTGACATTTTTCAAATGAAGAACTTATTGTATAGTTCTCAGATTTGACCAAGCTCTTCTGTAATGCTGTTTTGAAATACATGTGGTTGTCCGCAATTGTGTTAATGTTCACTGCAGTATGAACTAATGATTCCTATGTACTTGATTTTCCACTGATTACATTTTTCGTGCTCATCTGACTCTACCTGCCCTGAATTTCGCTACTTCGGTAATTCTTAGTTAGTAAATTAATTCAAATACTTCTGATCATCATATTGGCGTCGCAATGGAGCCTGTGATTGGAAAGCTGTACATTCAAATTTTGGAGTTTCCAAAGAATAAGTGGAAGGATTGGAAATCTGAATTATGACCGGGAAAGACGTTAAGGGTGATAAATTGTGGCTCATTTCCTCACATTCACCGAGGAAAAATGCCCTATAAACTTCGGTGTTTTCAGATTAGCCTATCTCACTTCTCTGAGCAACTATCAACGAAGTACTACTGAATCATGTAAATTGTGAAAATTTCTAGTGTCACAAAAGAGCGAAATTTCAGGAAATGCTTTGTCGGGACAATCAGAAGGTTAGGGGATTTGACCTCAAATTGCAGAAACGAGCTGTTATGTGTAATTTTGGTGATTAGCTTCACGTGCAGTTTCGTAATCGATTAGCTGCAGAAAATAGCATACCATATCTGGAAAGAGCCTAAATAAATGCTGGAGTGTTACTCTCAAGATGCTAGAACTGTGTGCATTAATTATGAAGCAGTGCATGAAACTAACTTTCAGGATATAAAGAATCCTACTACATTACTTAGTTTTCTCAATCCGACGAATACCTAAGATCATAAACGTAGGCGTTAAACTAACAATAATTCTCGTTCTCTTGAAAACATGGATAACAATCCATTGAGGAGTTGCGAAGCAGGTTCCACAGTTGAGCACATGTTGTTATGTGTTTATCCTGTGGTAAATTTCACCTACGTAATTCGCGTGTCGTCCCTCATGCCAAATACTTTTAGTGTGATATTACTTAGAATCCTAGTTAATTGAGTGATTCAAACGGTCATATACCAACCTCATTGACAACTTCCATTTGTTCACTTTGTATTCAAAAACGATTATATTTGTCCAATGCTGTCTTCGATGATTTTATTGGTGACATTTGCAGTATCACGTTCATCGTTCAAGTTAGAAAGTTGAAGTCATTAAATCTTGATGCTATAACTAAACCTATCGAAGTTTATATTTCGAGTAATACTCATGATGAACTTTATATTCTTGGATGCTGTAGTTTGTTTAATAGAGACGATAAATCATCGATCCTTAATTGTGAATTCCTCATCACCAATTATGGACCATCTATCCTGGGTTTAGAAGATTTAATAACTCTTCAGGGACAGCTTTCCTTATTGATCACAGTGGACGGTTATAATGAACTGCTTGATAACTTTCTAACTACGGAATTGAACTGCGAAAAACCACGCAAGACTTCAAGGCCATTTCATCCCGATGTGCAAGAAAGAAACTTTAAGACTTTGAAGACGGACGTCAATAATAATACTGCTCGAAAATTCAAAGATTCGGAAAGGAGAGTAGATAAAGCCTCGGTATAGAGTTACAAGGCCGTACGCAAAAGAAACAATGTTCAGACTATTTGAAAAAAATCTCGATAAACAATTCCCTGTCTACAATTTTCAGAAGATTTGCTGAAACGTGTCAATAAATCTATTGTTCATGCGAAAGTTACAACAACCGAATACGTCACAAGGACCCGTGTGGGTCCGTTACAATTTTCACCTTTAATTCTAATACTAATTAGTACACCCTAGATGATTCATAGTCTATATCTAGTACGCACTCGGATAGACACATAATGAACCTAAGAGGAAGTAAAATCGACTGTAAAAATTTGAATTGCCATTGAAGCTGTGGCGGTAATGGTATTTGTACGAACTAATGATTCCTTTGTACTTGATGACACTTGTGTGTCTTCTTCAAAATTTCGTTAGTTGGCACAGGAAAGATCTGTTAGTAGTTGTTGGGGATTAGTGTGATAAAGAGTTTAACTTCAAAGAAGCAGATAAACCTCACTTGTCATGTTTTATTTGTAGGCGTCCTGATATCCAGTTTTGCTGTGCAGTGATTGTACCAATTAGTGTTGTTATACTTTTAGGTCATCTGCATAGTTCAATTTACCGACATTGCAATTACTTTTAATCGGTTTAGTAGGACTGACATTTACCAAAAGTGTTTAGCCTTTCAGTGACGGGTTTACAGATTGGTTTACAAATTTGGATAGTAGAAAACTGAATACCCGTTGCTCAAGCAAGGTCGGTGTGTGCGGAGTTGGAAAACCCTGATTCCAAACAAATGGCGCACATCGGCTCCAGAAGTCTGAGGTAACAAATGGTGAATGAACTCATCATTGGTCGCCGGTCACCAGGAGACTGTATCTACTAACAGTGCTTCCCCTGGCAACAAGAAGTATGGTGTGACTGAAAGAATTTATGAAGAGGAAGGGATGCCAGTAGTTAATATCTAACGACATCTTGGTCGATGGTTAGAGTTTTTTGAGGTGCAGTTCAACTAGTTTTTTGCCCAGACAACATTGATTATACTGTCTTCTCCTGGATGTCCAGTGGCGACTGATCCACCTGACAAGGCGGAGTACCATAAATCTACAGTTCTATATGACTTGCCTTCGACCCTTTCTAACGATAATGCTGACTTCCTGGTTAACAAAAAGACTGGATAGTTTCGTCCAACTAGAGTAGGGATAAATCAGAAGGACTGCTTATGAGGCACTTAAAATAGTGGACAAGTATGCAGCATACTTATGTGCTCCTCCTTAGCCCTTAAATATTTTGTCCTTTCAAATTACGGAAGAACTGAGGAAAGAAGTTCTCATTCGTTTTTCAGGAATAAAATGAAAAGATCGGGTGTTTAATAATATAATCTCCTTAAGCCTTAATAGTGTTTATGGAACAA